CCAACCACCTTCAACTTTTTTGTTATTTTTAATTATTTTATATTAATAAATAAATAAATAAATAAATGTCATCAAAACATTGTAGAGTTAACGGATGAGTAAGCAAAATGATTTAATCTGTAAAGTTCAGTGAGTAAATTAGAAAAATTGAAAGTACAGTGAATAAAATAAGAGAGAGAGTAAAGTCAATGAGAAACGATGTAATTTATCCTTTTAAAATAATATTAGTAAACTTTGTTGAGGCACATTTTAGGTGAAACCGCACGGTAAATAGTGGCGTGTGCCAAATTCCATAAATTATAATTAATTTGTTATAAAAATAATTTTATGACAATTTTAAGAACTCTTCCTTTACATGATACAAATTCAAGACGGCAAAATTCATGTTAATGGGATGGGGGGAAACCCTATAGAGCTTAGTCCTTAGCCACTTTTTTTTCTTTTCTTTTTTGTACCTAAACCACTTGGTGAAAAGATTCAAGATGAAATGATTTCCCGAATTTGATGTAATATATTCCCTTATTGTCCTTTTAATATCTAAAAGAATATGTTATTATTTTATTTGTGAACCACAATAAATTACATGAATTAGTTCAAAATTCAACATCATCTTTTAAGTTCGTGTTTAAGGAATTAAATTTGAGTACTAAATGTGCAATGATTTGATATAGAGAGCCCCCCATATTTTCCATTTTAACCCTTATGAATGGAGCACATTCTCTCTCCCTCCATATAGTGTGTGAAAGTGGTAGGTCATTTCTTCTTTTATTCTCAACCAAATATATATATATATATATATATATATATATATATATATATATATATATATATATCAGTGCAACCAGTAATGGTGCAGAATTATTTTACCCCTTGATCACATTGAATACTGTTTTTTTAGACAATTTCGACTTATTCAAAAAATTTAATTTTTTGAGTGATTTAAAAAAATTAAATTCTAACTTGATTCGAATTTAAAAGTCAATTTGATAGTTTGAATTAATTCGAATAACTCAAAATTAAAAAAAAATCGAGCCAATATTATACACCTCTAATGCTTATAACGAAATTAAGGTTTGTATGGATTCTTGGGGTAAGACAATATTATCTACTGCTTCTATTATGTATTGTTGTCTGCTCTCATTTATCTCACTAAAAATCAACATCATTCTTTGTAATTTGACAACAATTGTTTAGCAATCTGATCCCGACACTCCCTTTATTGTTAACTCTCACTGTAAATCTATATATAAAAAGGAATTATAAATTACAATATCATCTTCATGTCGTCATGTGTTACTGAAAGTTTGATTTATTCACAAATTTATTAATTGTGTGAACAATTGATCCCAGAAAAAATTCAAAAATAAATTTTCTTTTAATATTAAAAAATGTTTAAAGGTGAGGATTTAAAGTGTAAAATCAGAAGAAAATATCAAAAAAAAAGGGGGGTCGAATTATATTCTCCTTTATGTGTACATCCCACTTTACACGTGATTCCACGTATACAATCCATTGTATGCACTTCATACACTGTATTCTTGGCTCTGAATGGTCAACCTATGAAGAAAAAAGAGAAATAGGCGAGAATTTTTCATCATTTCACAGCCGGATTCGTTACTCTCTACATATAATTTTCCTTTGATTAATAATTCATCCCATCTCCTCAAAATAGACCCTTCACCACAATCCACATGCTCTCATTTCTCTCTATGAAAACCCTTTTTTCTAGCCTCCTCAACATCAAGATTCTCTGCTAGTTTTATCAACATTGAGCAACGTTTTAGTTTTTTAAAAGCGATGGGAGTCGATGATATTCATAGCACCAGTCTCTGCCTCGGTCTAGGTATAGGCTGCCTTGTTAAGCAAGAAGGGTTTTCGCAGTCGGATCATCAGCAACAAAAGAAGAAGAAGAAATCTTTCCTCCAAAGTGGTCAGTTTTCACCATTTCTTTCGTTAGGTCCATCACATGGCATGCATGGATCTTTTGTGAAGTTTGATTCCAGTAAAGCACGTGGTGAGTTGATTGATTTGCACCATCGTCAAGCCTCTTCTCTCAGTCTCAGCGCAGTTTCTTCGTTTTCAAACTCGAGTGTTAAGAGGGAGAGAGATTTGAGCGGTGAAGAGGTGGAGTTGGAGAGAGTTTCTTCGGGGGTCAGTGATGAAGACGAAGAAGGAAGTCCCAGGAAGAAACTTAGGCTTAGCAAAGAACAATCTGCCATTTTAGAAGATAGCTTCAAAGGACACAACACTCTAGACCTTGTAAACTACTGCTTGAACTTTATAAACTTATATCTTCCTATATGATTTATAGTGTTTGATAACAATTCCTTGTCATGTTGGCAGAAACAAAAGCAAGCTTTAGCAGAACAGCTGAATCTAAGGCCCCGGCAAGTTGAAGTCTGGTTCCAGAATAGGAGAGCCAGGTATCCTTTTTGTCATGAAATAAAGTTTTCCCTCTCCCCTAGTTTGATGCCTTTCTAAATTTTTAGCCCGTATTTTATAAAGGACAAAGCTGAAACAGACTGAAGTAGATTATGAGTTACTGAAGAAACGTTGCGAAACACTAACAGAAGAGAACGAGAGGCTTCAAAGGAACTGCAAGAGCTCAAATCATTGAAACTAACAGCACCATATTACATGCAACTTCCAGCAGCCACCCTCACCGTGTTCCCTTGTGAAAAGGTTGACAACGGAGGTGAAGGCCCTTCGGCATCCAACACTTCTGCAATTGGGCAGAAACCTCACATCTTCAGTCCCTTCACCCACCCATCTGCAGCCTGCTAGATAACTTGTTCAGGGCCATATAACATTGCTAGTTTTCTTCAAGGGTATATTTTAAGTGTCAAATATATAAATGTGTGTGCAGTAATTATCAAGACATTACTATTCTATATATTTATTTCATTAAATATTCTGTACATAACAAAAACTGAGAAGGTTTTTGATTAGTATTATCCTTGCTGATTTTGATTCATTTAGTGGAGTAAATTTCTATAGCTTTTGGTGAGGAAGAAACTCAATGGGGACTGCCTTAGTTGCTTAATGACCAAGAAAGTGAAACATGGAAGAAAGGGAAGGACGAACAATTTGCTCATAAAGTAAAACCTTCTTTAATTGGTTTAAATAAAGGGGATTTGGATTTGAAATTCGTAATTAAATGCGATTACAGTAGGATTACGTCGGTCACATAGGGAAAAGGGAAAAGGAACATTGTTTATAGACACTCGCCTACAAAATAAATAATTAGATGAAAATTAATACAGATTTGATTAATCATTTCTACATACATACAGACGTTACATGTGTGGACGATCAGAAAGGAATGGTAAAGATTAGAAGATGAGATTATGTTCGTATTTACAAATAAGAGAGGAGAGAGAGGGAAAGCAACTTTTAAACTAAAATAATTAATACACGCATGAAGATGATTAGTGAACCAATAATCATCATGTGTTTATTAATTAATTATTACAAATTAATTTTGACTTTGGTTGGCTTCTTTGATTGTCAGTGACAAAATTTCGTCATCTTCCTCTTCGGATCTCAAACTAACTTTTCCTTTTCCTAACAATTATTTGAAAAAGAAAGTAGCGTTTAGGATTGGAATTATTAGAGCTTTTGTAAGACAGTAAATTATGAGAACTGTATTCTCTCTCAGAGCTCGAGTAAAATTGAAAGTAAGAGAATATTTTAACAAAGTAATGGTACAAGTGGGGAAGATGAAAGAGAGTGCATATAGGATGTTCATACATGTACGTAAAATTTTATGTTAGAAAATAGAATTTATAAAATTTAAAAAAAAAACAACCTATAAAAATTTAGGACGGTTGCTCCACTTTTCCCTTTGTCCGTCTTTGCATACATGGGCTTAGGGTGCACTAACCATCATCTAAAAGGATTGATTAAGGCCAATTTGTTGTTTATGCAGCCTATAATGTATCAATACCACTCTAATAAGGGCTGAAAAGTAGCTAAAAATTCCCTCGTTTTTCAAGCGTTATCTGAAAATAAATTTTATCAATTTTGTTGAATTCTGGTATACGTTCAAAAGACTATAATTTTATCCAAATAATTTCTAGATGAACAAGATCTAAGTGCTGTAAATTAGTTAACAAATGAAACCCGAATCCAGTTCTACGAACCCTGATATTTTGATCCACTCTCATACAAACAAAAGATTCACTTGGATTATTAATCCCTTGTACATCATAATTTGTTGTTATTTATGAGCTAGGTTTGCATTTTAGTACGAGAAATTGACTGATCTCTTTGAAAACTTGTGTACAGGATAAGTTCAGAGTGCACGTCGCATGATACACCATTCTAAAACTTTTCTTGTATCAAACTCATTCAATTTCCACCAGAGACTACTTTAACACTAACCAGATAGCTCCATAAACTCGGTTCAACTCAATCACATTTATTATAAATACAGCTCTCGGAGTAAAAATCTTAATAAATCACACAACAGCTAACATGGAATATATAAGATAGTAAATACAAAAGACAAGGGACAAAAAGCTTAACATGTGATTAATATGGCATCCAAAAAAAAGGATACATCTTCAAAAGATTGCAACCCCTGTCCTAATCTGCAACTTGCGGATTCTATTATACTAAAGGAAGATTTCCCAAGTTACTTTAACTGATCCAAACTTTCCCAGTATGTACACTTAAACATATAGTGCTGCTCCCACACATTACTTTTTCAACATTCCTTCCATTGTCACCAACCCCTTTACACTAATCTTTCAAACAGCGATAAAGTTACCAAGTGCAGCACAGTGCCTAGTAACATGAGAAACACAGGCAGACATACTGAACCTGAGAAGCTGGTATATGATGATGTCAACGGAATCTCCATCCTCGATAATCATCTCAATGAATAGGCAAGCACAACATATTATAAGACGTGTCTCTTATTCAAAGACATTAGATTATGTTAGGGGAAGCTCATTTCTGTCGAATGAACAAAAGAAACAATGGAAGACTAATAGATCTCATATGCTGTGACTGCAATTTAACTGAAACAAATACTTATAAATTTAGTCCTGCCGAGCAGGTAATTTATAAAGCTGTATTGCAGATTATCAGGGGCCCAAACGATAAGGACCGTCACCCATGAAGTGACCATCCATATATAGAGATGCATTATGTGGATGCAGACCATCCATCACCATGAATTGCATGTCTTCAGAGGGTTTCCAGTGACGTTTCCTTTGATTTATGAACCAATTATTAATTTGTTTCTGGTCCAAACCAGTTGATTCAGCCAATGCCACCTTCTCTGATTCCTAAGGAATCAGCATCGGGTTTTGTTAGCAATCCGAGATGAAAACGAAAATCCCAGTAGAAATTCCAATAGCTTTTCAATCCGTAGCAGGTGTTAAAGAAAACAATTTAGCATAGAAAGGATACATACCGAGGGGTATGGCCATTTGTAGTGCAACTCCCACCAACTAAGCAATTTCTGTCTAGCTTCTTTTGGTAGTTTCCCTTTCTTCTTTTTCTTGGAGAGTTCTTGCTTCAGACTACTTAAATAACCACTATATTTTCTCAATAGGTGGTTCTTCAGTTCTCGATCTTCAACATGCGGATCAAATTCAGCTAGTTCTGCTTCTCCACAACTATTGTCTTGATCCTTCTCAGATGAACCAACACCCTCACACTTCTCATCTGTTCAATTTTTAATGGAAAAAAAGGAAAATGGCTTGAAAATAATCACTTGATTCAATAAACCAAAAACACAGTGCAGGAATTTTTCATAGCATTATTCTTGGTCCAATGACAACCAACATCATTATCGAATTCACAGTATTAGTGCAATATATACTTGGTAAATCAGTATTTGATGCCAGCAAACATGAGGATTCAAATCAAAAGACACTCTAGACTAAAACAAATACAGGTTCTTTGGGCAAAGTCTAAAACCTTTTTCTCAAAAGTAAATTCCATGAGTTGATTATCAGTTGATGGTTTCTGTTACTACATTTCCCTATATCTTTTGAATAAGGAGACTTACGAATTCAAACAGAAGAGCTATTAAAAGATAGGTACTAGAGAGGTGGGACATGTGAATCAATAGTTCCTACAGTGGAGTACACAAGTATTCCTTCCACCATCTCCACACCCTTATGGCTGAATTAACAACCACCATCACTAAATTCAGATACAATGCAAAGTTAATAATAATAATAATAATAATAAAAACCTTATTTATGTGCTAGCAAAACCACAGCAAGGTATCAAATAGCGTTCGCGGTTGCGGACATAACGGATGCCATCGCATTCACTGCGAGTGTCGCAGTCGTGAATTTTTTTAAATTTTGCACAACTTATCTTAAAACATAATAAAAATAATTATAATTATAAGGAATCTAAGCCTGTAAACGAACCGAACGCACACGAACGAAGGTATGTTCATGTTCTTGCATTTAATAAATAAACGAACATAAACGAACACGAATATAAAATTTTTTGTTCATGTTTGTTCATTAAGGAATATAGTTCGTTCATGTTTGTCCATTTAAATGATAAACGAACATAATAAATGAACACAATAAACGAACAACACAAACACAAAAACCAAACTTATTCGAATACAACAAATGAATGTAAAAAAAAGTAAACAACAAGAATAACAACTTAAAATTCTTTAATATAACCTGCAACTTTAGAGTTAATTTGTTCGAATACGACAAAAACATACATAAATCATAAATAAGCTATATGAACATAATAAAGTCTTAAAGTTAATTTGTTCAACAAAACAATCTTCTTGAAATCCAAACAACTTCAATAATCTTCGTAACATATTCAACTTGCCATCTGTTCTAACATAAATGAACATAAATAAACGAACATATAATCGAACGTTCACGAACGTAAATAAACGAACGAGCTCTCTGTTCATGTTTGTTCATTTAATTAAACGAACGCAAAATCTTGTTCATGTTCGTTCATTTAATAAATAAATGAACATAAGCGAACTTCCCGCCGCACCGTTCATGAACGGTTCAATGAACGTTCAGTTCATTTACAGGCCTAAAGGAATCATTTTTAATGATTTTTAAAATGTTTTCTAAGCGAAATTGACATATATATAGTTTAACTAAATTAGAACTAGACAAGAATTACAAGAACTTATTGACAATAATTTCATTTTGTTTTATGTGATAATCATATTAATCAGTGACCAGAATAAATATTCAGTAAACTTAGGAGTACCTGAAACATGAATATTACAATTCTTAATGCATAACAAATTGAGGACTAAAATGTAACAAAACAAAAATTGATAAGGCCAATCGAACATTTAACCATAACATATAATAGTATACAGGGTGACTAAAATGTAAACATCGGGAAATTTAGAGCTTCGCGCATAAAATGGAAACCTTATATTTAGGGACTAAATTGAAAGGTTACAAACTACGAATGACCGAAAAAGTAGTTAACCTAAACACACAAAACGTGTGCCTTCCCAACCCTAAACGACGTCGTTTTATGGGTTTTATATAAGCCTAAAATCATGGCCAAAAATGGCCCATAGCGCTCATTTGTTTATTTCTCTTTGTTTTCACCAAAAAAGGAAAAACTTTTTTCCTCTAAACTCTCTTACTCCCTTGGCTAAGGCACCCAAACTTCCCTCCGACCAGAACTCTCGATACAATCTTAAAAACAACCCTTTTCCTCTCCTAAACCCAAAAAAATCTACTATTTTGACCTTTAACCCCTCCTCTCGTCCTAGATCTAGAGAAAACAAAGAGGTTACCTCGGACGAACGGCGGTCTTCTTGTTCCGGTGACAAAGAAATCGAACCCCTTTGAAGGAAAAGGTTCTCCACCTTTCATTTCTCTCTTTTTCTATTTTGTTCTCTCTTTTTTGGTTCGAATGGTATCCTTTTTTTTCTTCAAAAAGCCTCCCCCGAGTCTGACTCCCGTATTCTCCAAGCCAGGGAATATATTGCAGCAGATGATTTTGTTTTTGTATACGATTGATTGCGGCAGATGTTGGTTTTTGTTTTTGTCTTAGAATCACGGTTGAATAACGGTTGTTGCGCCCCGTTATCAGTGCAATCTTCCATTTCCCGTTAAATTGCGAGCGCAATCGACGAGATTAGTGTGAATCCGCGACCCACCGCAAAAACCATGAAACCGGTTTCGGAAGGTGGCGCGACCGCAATATCACGGCCGCTATCACGTTTTCGGAATGCTATTTGATACCCTGACCACCATAACTCCATTGTATGAAGGAGAAATTATTAAAATCATTAAATAGTGGGGTGATGACAATTGAAAAAGGTTTGTGTCCTAATAATCCAAACTTGAACATGAATGATATATGCGATCAAATGAGATGCACAGAGATTTACAAACATATTTACCCCTCTCATGAAATCACTTCATATTAGGAATGGCATCAGAGGCTCAAAGCTATCATAAAATATATTAGGAAAAGTTTGCAGTACTTTGGAATCCATGGCGGAGTCAAAGGTTTAATCCTTTGCTTGCAGGTTTCTTAAGTTGGACCATGAAAGAGTCTAAAACCATATTTACCAGCTCTAGTAACCAAAAATCTCAAGACATCAACTTGAAAACTAACTTGACAAAAGTTTTTGAGTTTTTCATAATGTAGACTGAAAAAAAAACCCTGCATTTGTAGGTATGAGCATGACAGAAATACATTAAAAGACCATAAATCAATACTAACAATTCAGAGAGAAAACAAAGTTATGCATCTGAGTCCAGCACAATTTCATTCATTTTGTTAATGATCAACTATTAAAAACAACTCATGCACAAATTGTCATCAATTCTAAAAACAACTATAAACCGATGTTGACACAAATTTTACCAAAAACGGAGATCTCTTCTACGCCATTATGAGAGGGAGTTTTATGCTTGTAAATGAAGATCATTCAATACATTGCCAATTGAACTATTACTCATAGTGCAATTGTCTTACTCTTTAACATTATATAATAATAATATGATTATATACAAAATTGATAACTCTATTCAATTATCATTAGAAAAAAAATACATCAATATAAATGTCAATATTAAAAAAATCAATATAAAGGTCCAGGATTCACATTTTGGCAACGACATTCGCTTCCCGATACTTGTAATGTATCAGAAACACATAAAAATTAGTAAAACAGGACTAAACTGAATGATAAACCCATGGTTTTCAGAACCGGACCGGTTAGCGAACCGGTCATGCTACCGGTTCACTGGTTTAATCGGTCGAACCGATCCGATCGGTCGGAAGAACCGGACGACATCATAATTATTTAAAAAATTAAATAAAAATACCAAAAATATTTAATAAAAAATAATTTTTTATATCACAAGTCATATTCAAAGCAAGTTATAACATATATAAGTTAAAAACCATAAAATCAAGTGAAACAAAATGATTCAAATTAACTACAACATAATATTTAAGGTAAAACATATTAAATAATAAATATAATTATATAACTATAATTAAAAAATAAATTTGGGGTTAAAAAATCATAATAAAATTGTATAATTATAATTATATAACTATTCTTTCACTTCAATCAAGCTTGAATTTTAAAGGCTTCAATCGAGCTTCTAATTTTTTTTTTTTGAGTTCAAGCCTTTTTTAGTAAAGTTTCAATATTATATTTCGAGTTTGAGTTAAACTTGATAATTTTTAGCTCGTGAGTTTGAGTTGAATTGAGCTTACTTTTAAAGTTTTCAAGTTCGAGTCGAGCTCAGCAATACTCGAATTCGACTTGGCTCGTTTAACAAACGACGTTGTTTGGTTTAATTTTTTTTAAAAAAAAAACAAAAATCCCGGTTTTTTCCGGTTTTCAGCCGGTCCGGTTCGAACGGTTCAGCGGATTTAGCCAGTTCACTAATAACGATTCAATCGGTTTAATTGAACCGTACTAAACAACGTTCCCGATTGAACCGATCCGATCCGATTTTCAAAACAGATGATAAACCAAAACTTATAAAGAAACTACCAATAAAGGAATATTATTTATTTTCTAAAGCCGTGCAGAATGGGGGTAGCACTGATATGTACAGAATCCTATGTTCACCAATTTTCTTAGCCTTAATAATTTTTTTTTCTAGGGAAAGGAAATACATAAAGAAAAATACAAACTACTTGTTTTAAAAGAAGACAGTAATGATATCAATCACCTCTGGAAGTATATATTTATATACAAATGCCCACATGAATCAGAATCAGATTTAGCAGAAGTAGAGAGAATACCGTATCCAGATTTTTGGGAATAAAAAATAAGAAAACCCTAAAATAAGAATGGTTGTCAGAGATCATTCAAAAGGTCACCCCATTAGGAAAAGCCGACGTGCGTATTTTATTGTATACATACACCAGCAATAGAATAAAACCAAGTGCGTTTTGTCTTTCTTTTCAAACATAGGTAAACTCGTTCAGCCATTTGAAATTTCCAATCAATTTATTACTATATAGATTAGTCATTAGCTAGGGTTTCTCCAATTAGCTGATTAAATACGTTGTGTTTGCTGGTTTTTATCATATTGTTGATTCTTCTTCTCCATTTTTATGAATCAATTTTTTACAAGTTTTTTTCCCTCTTTGCCGCTTCTTCTGTATTGGAAGGCGTGATTTGGGTCAAAGTTATCAATGGCGAATAAATTAATACGAGAGCTGTAGGCTCAGGTCTACAATTTCCAAAGAAGGCCTAGCAAATTAGACTATTTTACAAATCTAAGTGACGAACAAATAGTTAGTACCGTCTCTGCAACGAACGCCAACGCCAACAAAAGTTTATTTTCCAGGCTTACACATTAGGCAAAGGTAAGCAAAGCATTAACCATCTTCTTCATGAAGTAAAGCGGCGGGAAATGGAAAGAAAAAGAGGGGGAAAAGTACCGGAGTTGAAGATCTGCACGGGAGTATTGCTGAGCATATTAAGTTGAGATTCAATCCTCCGCATGAAATCCAAAGCTTCTTGTATGGGTCTCGTTAATTCCTCTCGGTATTTCACCAACATGTCATAGTAAGCTTCCTGGGTTTATGGATCCACAATTTTCGAGTCAGACGCAAAAAGAAAATCAGTACAGAAACGGAACAAGTAGCTGTGTTTAAACCCAAAAGTGATCGTAAAGCCGAAGAGAAGAAGGTTGGATGCCAAAATTTGAATGATATAATGAGAAACAAGATCACCATAAACTGATCCAGCTCCGGGTCTTTCGAGAAGTCTCTCGATGCCACTGAAGATCGCTGCCTCGCTTCAAACTCTTGTCGAGAAGCTGCTAGTCGGGCCACTACTCCAGGTGGAGCTCCCACCTGTATGAAAATAGGATCAAAAAATTTTAATGGTGATAAAAGGGTCAACGATTTAATAATTATCTTTGAGTTTAAATCAAATTTAGTGTTCACGGAATCTGCACTTTCTTTTGTGGGGAACTTACCTTTTGGCAGTCCATGTAAGCTTCCAAGAGGTTATTGTACTGAGGATGAGCAATGATCTTCGCTTTGATAACTTCCCCTTCACTTGAGCTTTCGTTCCCTTCTTGTTGGTGATGAACTACTTGGTGCCCTCTCAACAAAGGGTAGTGAAAATTTTGACCAGGTTGAGAATTGCTAGCTTCAGTCATCACAATTGGGTGTGCCTCCGATTGATAACACTCGCTCGATTGAAGCTGAAAGGAAATTAATGGCATCTCGGTCTGCAGATTACTCACGTTAGAGCCGCTACACGCTCTCCCGTAAGGAGAAGAACTTGGTGCAATCACTGGAGTTGCGTACAATAAATTTCCGCTAGGAGTACTACTCTCCGTCAGCTGATTATATTCATCCATTTTTTTTTCTTTTGTCAACAAATTCAGCTGTGAGCCAAACATGCAGGAAAAGAAAAGGTAAAACTTTCTCTAAGCTAGAAAGCAATAGGCACCGAAAAGCGGTATTAAAAAACAAAACCTAAAAGAAAGCAGTGTAAATGAATAGAAACCCTAAAACAAGATAGCTAGACACCTAGTGATCATTCCTGCAAAAAGTTTTCCATTTCCATATCAAATCGAGAAGACTAGAAAGTTTGGATTAAAGAGAAACATATTGAAATTCTTTGCAGTTTTAAGTCAATGGAATTGCAGCAACACTTGCACTTATCAAGAGAAGATCAGAAAAGGGTAAGCCAACAAAACAAGGAAGACAGAATTAAGAGTTCTCTGAGTTGATCTAAACAAAGGCAGAAGGAAAGAAAGTAAATTTAAGCCGGAACCGGCAAGCGACTGCGTGGCATTGGGTGGTTGACAAGACGTTCTTTATTGAAAGAAAAAGAAATATTTGAAAATTAATAAAGGTTAACTAAGCCACCACCACGAGATAAGACAATTGAAATTCTACACTTTTCTCTTTTTCTTTCTTTGATTTCCTTTATATTATTATTGTAGCACTTCTTTCTCAAGGACGTACCGATATATTCACTCTATATTTCAGTAGTTTTGCTTCACTCTGGGGACACTGTTCACTCAATTAAGTATTCATAAATGTCTAAAAAGACATATAGTAATGAATTTTGTAACTAAAATAAGAATGTTTCATCATCCACGTTAGAGGTTTTTCTTCTTTTGTAATCATTAGTTTTATATATTTAAACCTAATAGTAACTATTTTATTTAAATGTGTATTGTATATCCTCCACTAAATAATACTTGTTAAATGGATCGATTCTCTGCAAGTCAATCGATGAAGTTTATAAACATTCGTCACTAAGACTATTAATTGATGTTAAGTTGAAGAACACGAGGCTCTAAAACTATTAATCCACTATAATCATAATCCAAGCGAATCCTAATTTTATTAGTTTCAAATGGTCCTGCATATTTTTTTTTGAACCGTATAAAGAAACATTTAATCCTTGAATTAGACCCCCAAAAATTACTTGGACCCTATTTTTTTTAATCTACGTTAGCCTTGAAGTTGAAATTTGTTCTCAACTTCGTCAATGGACTTTTATTTATGGTCTATACTAATTCTATAACTTGTTAACTTGATCTTTAAGAACTATGACTAAAATTTATGATGAATTCCAAGTTTAGAAGCGAAGCTGGAAAAAATTATCAAATTATTGGACTAATATGAATCAAAGGGATTGAGTTGAGAAAGATTGTCAAGTGTAAAGACTAATATAGATATAGAAATTAAATTAAAAGAAATATAAAATTTAAGGACCAGACTTACTTTATCACAAAAATAATGAAAACCCGTGATAGGTGTGAAGTTAAAATTTTGGCTAACATACCAAAGATGAAACATTTTTAATGCTTTTAACAAATTAAGTAAATTTTAAAAATATATTAAACATTACTTTTTAATTTAATCTGTAAAATAAAAATAAAAAACACGGCTGCTACACCAAATATGAAACTGTACTAACGCCTTTAGAATATCCATTTTTTTCTTTTTGGGCTTGCCATAGTCATACCATGCATTCATGGTATAGCAACATAAACTTGATAATTTGTAGTTAATTGTGCAATGACAATCAGTCTCAACAACCTAAGCTTTACTATACGAATGGAGTTTCTATCTTTTCTGCAACTGCATACATGAGGGAGAGTTGGCGAAGAAATTTAATGTCATGGTCATCAAGTCTTGCCATTTAAAACTCCATTATAATTTAAAAACGGGTAATGTAAATTTTCCCCTGAACTTAATGATTTGTACTCTTTTTTGCTCGAGATGATATTTAAGTTTAATATTTCTTTAAACTTAATTATTTTTCCCCGTCTACAAAAGTAAATCATTAAAGAAGGAAATAAATCTCCTCTCGTGATTCTAAATTCCTACTTAAAATATCAAACACTTTAACCTCTTTTGATGACATCAAAGGGAATAAGGTAGGTTAGGGAAGTGAAGATGAAGAAGATTAGACGATAGAAGATCCGTATACAATAGTTATTTTCAACGGTTAACAGTGAGAAGGGCCCCTACCTTCAGTCTAACCCAGATTGATTGGTCTGGTTTTTCATCGCCATCTGGCAGTAAAGCACATGCGAGTCCAAAAAAAAAATAAACTAAACTGAAACATTGTTTGGCTGTCTGCAACAACGTAATGTAAAGACAGTGAGAGACAAAGAGTCCCACAGGCCATAAAACAGCCTCTTTTCCCCCCGATAGTCGCGCGCTATAAAGAGAAAAATAGTGTGGGGGATGTGCTTAATTAATGATGAAGAAGCTGTCAAATTGGTTTCTTTTTATTATTATTGTATTTTAAAGTTTTCGGAAGAGGGATTGGACATGTCAAATCTCCAACAGAAGCCTTGCGGGGGAAATAGTAGGGTTCCCACATATTCATTTGTCGTTGGCTGAATTCAGTCACGGTGCTGTTCCATTTGCTTCTTCCCCTTATGCACGCACTTGCCTGCCTTTGCCTTTGCCTGGGAAAATAATTCTTTCCACTACTAATACTATTAGGGTGCGTTTGATTCACGGAAAGTAAGATTACCAGGGAATAGGATTACTGGGAGTGTTGTATTTTGTGTTTGGTTGGTTTAGCAGGAATATAATATTACCGTGATTGGTTTAGTAGGAATGTAATATTACCGTGTTTGGTTAAAGGAATAAAAGATTATTGGAATGTATATTTGACCAAATTGTCCTTATTATATATTTGTATAATATTACAAATTGTCAAATATTTATATATATATTTTTTTAAAAAAAATTAAATTCATAATATTTATATAATTTTTTTATAAAATTAAAAATATAAAAAAGGTTTAATGAAATGGTAAAAAAAAATTTAACCCCTGAACTTAATATAAAATTTTAATTATAGATTTTTTTTGTAAATCTAAAATAATTTAAGGATAAATTTATAATTTAACCTTTGTAGAATTTTTATTATTCAATGACAGAAGAATGATATTTTTGAAAAAAAATAAAAATTTAAGGGTATTTTAGTCCAAAACGCCGGTAATGTTACAATACCTAAGGGAAGGGAGGTAATGACATTCCCGGTAATATACTTCAAAAAATCTACTATTGGTAATAAAACATTACCGCGAATGAGATTTCTGACCAACCAAACATGGGAATGTGGGATTCCCATAGGATGGGAATCCCACAATCCTTGAACCAAACACTCCCTTAACACTTCACTGATCACAGGATGGATCCAGCGGTCGTCACACCCCTAAAAATTTTAAATTTTCTTATATATTAAGTATTTTTTATATTTTATGTGAATTATTTAATTTCGTATGAGATTATAAAATCTCATATTCTTAAATTTTTAATATAATTTTTTATATTCTAACACAAATTCTTGCGTCCGTCCATGCTGATCACCCTCGAACACTTCACTCATCTTTTAATTTGCTTCATTACCGTAACTCTCTTAGCATCAACTGTTTCTACCATTGAACTTTACTACTACACCTTTTCCCCACTATGAAGCAACACGAGACAAACAGAAGATGCAGGTGAATAGATTTATATTCATTAAAATCAAGCAAATTATTTTTTATGAGTATTTAATTGATATTTTTATATTATTAATGTATTGTACGCACAACACTTTTCTAACATTATTAATTAGGAATATGATTATCATAGATTATGTTTATAAAGAAAAAACGTGTAATTGTTTTTGAGAACGGGAATTGGATAAAAGGATTTATGATAAACATAGGGAAAACTACCAGCGTAATGGGAGAGCTGGGGGGATACGACAAGGACTCATGCTCGCCAAAGAAGCAGGAGTTAAAAAACTCATTGTGGAAACTGACGCAAAATGGGTAATCGAAGCCCTTAACAAAGAGAGTATGGATGATATTCAAAAGGAAGTGATTTACAGATAATGTGAAGAGCTAAGAAAAGAGGGTTGGATACAAGATATTAGACATATATGTAGAGAGGGGAACCGATGTGCGGATCATCTCGCTAATCTAGCATTTGAGAAAGAGGGGGGAGTTCACATTTTGGAAAACCCACCAGAAGAAATAATAAAGCTGTTAGAAATGAATTTAGAAGGATAACGTGTTAAAAGATGGTAGGCTATTATACATAGCCACTTCATTTGTACCCAAAAAAAAAACATGTAGTTTTTTTTATTAGTGGTTGAGGAAATATTCATTGGGTATAAGTATTAACTAGACAATTCAACCATGGTTTTTAAAATTTATTTTAAAGTAAATACGGAATATATTAAGTATAAATAGATAGCATCGTTAAGTACATGATCAGTTAAGAAATCAGGACAATCATAATCAAAGTAAATATATTAGTTTGAAGAAGAGGACCATCGCACTAGCACATGAGCAACATTGTTGGCGATTCATGGACATACCTGGCTCGAACAGAGGGATGAGAATCTAAAAGTTTATGAGCAGCGACGAGATGGAAGCTAGCCATAGATAGGTCGATACGACGAAGGAGAAGTTGCCGAATTAAATTCAATCATGTTTTTGCTTAAATTAAATTATAGCTTTTAAAAGATTTTTTATATTGAATGATGTATTTTTGTCATATAGTCCTAATTGATTTAGAAATTTAAAAAAAGGTTATTCTATTATAATTTTTTTTTTGCTTTAAGTATACTTTTTTTTAATGGTATTTCAACAATTTTTTTATTCAACCAACTTAAGATACAATATGATTCTTTTTTAAGATACACATTAATGATATGCAATTTTTTGAATGGACCTTATTAATTTGAGAAATTTACTTGTTCAACAAAGGTTTTATATAAGATTTTAATTAAAAAAATGAATGATTAGTCAACTTTTTGAGACAAATTAGAGATACAATTAAAGGAGATGTGTGTCACGAATCCTATAAAAATGTGTGATGTCTATTTAAAAGTTGTTTGTATAGTTTCAAT